TACTTCTCATGTTTGCACATAAGTCCAAAAATCTCACCATATACAACCTTGAAGCAGGACCCTCCCACAATATTCCTTTTCTTGTCTCTTGCTTTCATTCACCACCCACTTCTTCTTGAACATCCACCTACCAGAGAGACATCATAGCAGTAAATGGCATGTCTTGACAAGTAGCCCATATTCAGACTACCAGAATGACAGAAACTCCAAATATGAAACTACTGTTACAAATTACCATCACTGCATGCACTTCTGATTCCATCTGCCTAGAGTTGGCTGCCAGCAGGTGCTGAGAGCTGAGGACTCAGTCCCACAAGGCTTCCATGCTTCAGACGGCTTTTGGACCATGTGGACCTTTACATACCCCCCACCCCCCGCATGTGCATGACATGTATGTATTTTTGTCTAATTATTATTGGTCTTAATTCATCATGATAATAGTAAAATAATGTACTACAGGTATTCACTTTTTTCTTTTCTCTCTTTTTTTTCCCCTGGTACTGGGAATCAAACACAGTACTTTGTGCTTGTCAGGCCAGTGATGTGCTACTGAACTCTATCTCCAGCCCCTGGATATTCACTTTTAAAAATTATTATTCTATAAGAATTTTACAGGACATCTGTAATTTTACAAAAGACTTACAGAAGAGTTGCAGAGACGCTATAGGGTGTTCCTATATGTGCTGTAGTCGACTTCCTCATGTTAGTCTTTCATGCCATGCCCCTTGTATCAGAACTAAGACATTAATATTAGTACTGTAGTAAGAAGACCTCTGCTGTAGCCTCTGCTCTCCATCCAGGATAGCATATCTCCTTGAATTGTCGAGTCTCTGCGGATCCTTCAGTCTCTTTTCTGTATTTCTCAGTCTTCTGTGACTTGTCCCACCTGATGAACGTTGCTTGGAAACATCCTAGAACACAGTATCACTTCCATTTGTGCTAACAGGGTGACTGAGGATGGGCCCCAGATGGCTCAGGATGGGGACAGGCACCGGAAAGGCCACTGACCTGGGAGGTGGTGTGAAGGCGTGGGGTAAAACTCCCCGAAGCCTCACAGGTGATCCAATTTGCTCGATGCCAGGCTAGTGATGGCACCACTGGGAAAGATGCCAGCCCCACAAGAAAGCCGCTCCTGCTCTTGGCCCTTTCGGTCTTTGCCTTCTTTGTGTCTTCATCAGCGTGCTTATCCTTAGCTTTTATGACACATCTAACAATCCAGCAAATGTAAACAAAGCATTTCTCTGAATTCTGTGAGCCATTGTAACAAATTATTAAGCTTAAGGGAGGGAGTGGTTATTTTGGAAACCCCAGAGATGTCCCCATGTCTAAGATAATCCCAAAGGTTTGAAGAGCTCTCTGTCAAGAACCAAGAGCAACAACTGAATATATTTCTATCATATCATAACTCCAGATGTGTTTGTATGCGTGTTTGTTTTTTGTAAGGCCAGGGGTAAGCCCAAGCCTTTCTACTGAACTACATCCTTACCCCTATTTACTTTGACACAGGGTCTCACTAAGTCACTAAGTTGCCCAGGCAGGACTTGAACTGGAATCCTCCTGCCTCTGCTTCCCAGAGTGCTGGGCTATAGCTGTGCCCCACCAAGCCTTCTAGCTGACCAGATGGAAAAGCAGACAATGAAAATCTGACGATGAGAGTGAGTGTGACTGGTAGAGCTATCTGCAAGGTCTCGGGCACTTTCTCTCCAGACCCATCTGGGACAGCTTGTGTGACTCCCAGTGCGGCACTTGGCCTCCATACCCCTGGGTTCCACACCCGTGGTTCTACCAGCCCCAGAGGGAAAGTATTTGGGGGAAATGGTGCATCGTTGGCGGCGTGCTCTGTGCAGTTAGGCCTTCAGTGGCTGCATCTGGACTGAACCTGCGCAAGCTTTTTCTCATCATCTCATCAATATTCCTTGTTATAACAGCTGCTTACCTACCTTTCCATTGTGTTAGGTTATTATAAATAATTTAAAGTGTAACATAAGCCAACCATGCGGATGCACTCCTTTAATCCCAGAACTCTGGGAGGCTGAGGCAGGAGGATGGCAAATTCAAGCCAGGCCTGGGAGGTTTTTGCCATTTTCAAGACTATCTCAAAATAAAAATGGGCGGAGATGTAGCTCAGTGCGAAAGCCCTGGTCCAACCCAGTTCATTTTCTAGCTATGGCTCTCTCTATGTGTACCTGCACCTATCCATATCTATAATGTAAGGGAGAATATATATAAATACCACAGCGTTTTTATATAAGGTACGTAAGCATCCAAGGACTTTATTGCTGGATTTCCGGGTATTATTTCCCCATGGAACCCAAGACACAGCTGTACATCCAAAGCACGTGAAGATATCTTGATTACCAACTCTGAGAGCTTTAGATTCTTTTTTTTCTTTAAGCAACTGAATTGTGAGGGATTTGGGGGCACTAGAAATGAACTTCCTGCTGCTGTGCTGATGGTGGGGCTGGGCTGTAGTGTCTGGCATTTATGCCAACAATAGACAGCACCTTCCCCACTGTAGCAAACGTGAAGAACATCTAAACTTACTAAGTGACCATCACTTACACTCGCCAATGACGCTGAATGTCTTCATGATATTACGGGAGGTTGTGTGAAGGTCCCTTTGCCCTTACACTTTCTCCAGTGGCAAGTTTAGGACACTGACTTAGCAGGGGCTTTGAAGCTTGGAAGAGACACCCCTGAGACTCATCCTGAAGTGTCTGATGGGGGACAGAGAACTTGATGGAAATGATTGCGGCACCGATGTGCAGCCATGTTCAGTGGGCAGCCTAACACTGTCCACCCCATGACCTGCTCTATGTCAGTTGTGCAGCAAACACAGCACGCAGGTCCCATGACCCCAGTGTCCACAGAGTCCACAGCTCTCCCTGCAGCTACTGAGTCACCTACTTGGTTAGAGTCCCTTGGCCAGGATGTTAACGGTTCTGGTAAGATCCAGCCAAGAGCAGCCACTGTCCTTGCTGACAGCAGGGATGGTAGATGGATGGTCATTTGGTTATGCAGGTGTTGGAAGAGCCAGGAAACCAAATGAGGTGGTAGAGACACAGATGGCCCCACAGGGAGGTGTTTCTTCCTGCTGTGATTTGACCCAGTGTCTCCTCTGCAACTCATTTTGAACTGTAATCCTCAGAGCAGCCATGCTGGAAGGTGGGGCTGACTGAGCAATGAGGGGGTCCTCGGTGGTTATCAAAGGAGTGCATCTTAGGGTGACTCATATTGCCCCCTCACACTCACCAGGGCCCCTGCTTTCCCTCCTGTGCACCAGTCCATACCTGTGGCTGTGTTCCTATTTAACGAGGTGGCCCTCATCAGATGTAACCTCAGATCTGGAACCTCCCAGCCTCCAGAACTGTGAGAAATACCTTTGTTTTCTTTATAAATTGCCAGGTCTGTAAGTATTCTGTCATAGTGAAGGAAAGTGGAGGGACACACACACACACACACACCCATGGTAAGAGACAGACAGACAGCAGGGCAGCTCCTTCAGCCATGGCACAGGGCTGCAGAGCTGGTGCCGTGGACGGAGGAGATGGTGGACACCTGTGAGGAGGCAGAGCCACTGCCAGGATGGACAGCAGGGAGAGAAAGGGAAGAGCATCCTGGATTCTCCCCTCTCCCCTTTCCAGCCTTCACTGGGCTTCCCATGGATGGAACCCATCCAGATCCAGAAGGCAAAGGCGTCCCTGACAACCTGAACCAAGCAAAGGACGTCGGGAAATGGGTCCAAGAAAAAACTAGCCATGGCAGGACAGAGTCTTGGGTTTGTTCAGCTGCTCCCAGGTCATTTAATGTTTAGTTTGTTTAAATGAATCCTGCATCTTTAGATATTTTGCTTATTCCGGCCTTGCCCAGTTATATCCTCACAGACAAGGATAATAAGGTGGACAAAAATTAAAACATGGGAGTAAACAAGTTCTGGAAATGAGAGAGCTGGTGGACACTTAAGACACTGTGAAACTGCACAGTTGGGGATAGGACTGGAGCAATGACTACAGGTATTAGTTTCTGCCCCAATGTTCTAACCAAGTGGTAATGTGGGTCAGTTTGGCTTGCTACCGAGAGAATCCAGCACTAATGTTTGTGATGTCACTGTCGTCCAGGGGCTCACGAACCCCACCAGGCTTCTGAAGATGTAGATCTCCCCCTTGAAATTAAGAAAGCTTACTTAAGCCCACTAGTCCCTGAGCGCAGCATGGAGGCCCGAGCTGCCTTTAACATACTAAAAGTGGTTCTCAGCGCACAATCCCCAGGCAGCCTTAGTGTCACGTGGGCGCTTGATCTCAGGCCACCTGCAGACCCAGGTGGGCTCCCCTGCCCCACCCCCTGTGTGGCTGCTGGGATCCTTAGCCAGTGCCTACCCCTACCCCCAGCTCCCAGCTGTTACTCAGTAACTGCCCGCAGCCTACCACTGGGATCAACAGTCGGACTTCGCAGAACTCACCCTGAAGCAGCTGGGTGTGGAGGCACAGGCCTGTGCCGCTAGGGCTCTGAGGGGCTGAGGCAGGAGGAGGACGAGTTCCAGCCGAGCCTGGACAACATAGCTTAGACAAACCCTGTCTCAAAATAAAACACGTTTTTAAAAGGCTGTGCTGTACCTCTGGGTTCAGTTCCCAGTACAAAAACACCCATTAAGTGGCCAAAGGGCTGGCCACTGCTAGAATTGGACAGTTCCGTGCACATTCTGATTCATTCTAATCATTACAATATTACCTTTTCATATACAGTATTCTTAATTTACTTTAAATACAAATAACAGGCGTTTCTCCCCCTACGCCCTTAAACTGACCCACGTTTACTTTGTGGTGTTGGCGTCGCAGTTCACGCCCTTGTGCCGCCCTCCACTCACATCGTGGGCCGGGCCCGGAGCAGCTCAGAGCAGGATCAGCCTCCGAACCGGCCCGGCAGCCTCAGGTCCACCAGGGGGACCTGGACCCCTGCAGCCCCGCTGCGCCTGCCTGCCTCGGCCCCCTCCCTAGAAGCTTTGCCTGGGCAGGCTTGCAGGAGCCGGTCCACTGTGCCAGGCTCTGCCCAGACTACGGAAGAAGCCCCAGGCGGTTCCAGCGCTGCTGGTGGCCCGGCCACATGGTGGGGCCATGGCCACCAGGTCTTGAAGGTGACAGACACTGTCTAAAATATTTACCACGTCACCTGCCCCTAACGTCGCCACGTGGCAACGCACCTATTTGCGCCATCGCGCTGGAGTCTTTCTGGGAACCTTTCTATACGAAATCCCGCCCTTTAAAATGGAGCAGTGACTGCTGCACACCGCCATCTGGTGGTGAATATGTGGCACCGCACCTATAAAATTGTGCCGGAGGCCAAGTACGAAGAAACCAGAACCTTTCGCAAAAATTATTGGCACACAAGTTGCGTCCTGTGGTGTAATCCAGTGAACTCAGGGGAAAAAAAAAAAAAAAAACTAGCAAAAGAGAGTTCAGGACATAGCCACAATATGCAAACTATAACCATAGCTTTAAAGATAGAAACAGCATCGCTCTGTGTAATTTATAACCTTAACTGAGTAGTATAACCTTCCCGTGTTCTATAAAACGCCGTTCCCCACGCCGACGTGGTGGGGGCGGCTGTAATCTCAGCACTCTGGAGGCTGCAGCGGGAGGATCGCCACGAGTTGGAGGCCAGCCTGAGCTATCACATGAATTCAAATTCAGCCTGGACTCCCCCCAACTCAAAAAAACCAAAATAATAATAAAATAGTGCTTCTATTGTTGTAAAGTTGACATGAGTAAGTATAAAAGTCCCTGAAACATCTTGATACATAGTAAGCACATTTTTACTACAGTGTTCATTATAAACACTGGCAGTATGCCGAACATGATAGTAAATGCCTCACATATTTTTATCGCATGAATTTTGTAACAGTCCTGATAAGCAGGAACTGTTATCATTCCTTTTTGAAGATTAAGCAACTGAAGTTCACAGAACAAAGAAACTTGCCTAGAAGCCACTGGCTAACCCAGCCACACCAGTACACGTTTGTAGTCCCAGTACTTCAGGAGGCTGAGGCAGGAGAAGAGTAAATTAAAGTCTAGTTTACGGAAGCGAGGAACCTAGTGACACGTGTCTTAAAAAAAAATCCCCACCTTCCATTCCAGCAGTCGGAGACTGAGGCAGGAGGGTGCAGGTCAAACCATCTGGGCAGTTCAGTGACTTAATGAGCCTGCCTCAAGAGTAAAACTTTGTAAATAGTCTGGGGGTATCACTCAGCGCAAAAGCCCTGGGTTCAATCCCCAGAACCATTTAAAATTTAAAAAGTCACAGGCTAGTAGGTGAAGCAAGAACTCAGGTCTGACCCTAGCTCCTTCACAGCTACGCCAGGGTGGTAGGCGGAGCCTTCGCAGCGTTTACATAAATTCCATCTGCTCTCCACTTTCCATTTGCTCATTGCACGCGAACGCGCATGCGCATGTACACATGCACGTACACACGCACGCACACCCCTGCAGAAGCGAAGCCCCGAGGCCCATGATGAGCTTGCGCCTGGGATACAGTGGGCGATAAATAAACCCAGTCAGGATGATGAGGCACAGTGCTCCTTTCCTGCTACCATTTAGGTTTTATATTTATGATATTTGCTCAGAGCTTTGGTATCACAGCCCTCATTGTTCAGATAAAGTAACTGAGGAATAGAGATTAAATAACCTACGTACTTCCTTGTCATTCGTGGTGATAGAGCTGTGGCTGGGATGTGGATTTCTGACACGTGCATCAACTTCACTGGCTACGTTCAGCTAGACACCACCATAAAGTATTAGTTTGGGGCATACAGCTCCACTCATGCTAACAGCTACCATCTTGTAGTAGCTTTCCCACAAAGCATAATTTCTGTTGGTTGCTAATATTTGGTATGAAAAAAAAAAATCCTATGATGAAATAATTTTTAAAATACTGGCCCAAGCCACCTGGCAATGAGACGTGAAGGGCAACCCCATTGTGTTAAGCCAAGTGAAACAGTGCCTCTGTATAACCAAGAATGTGTTCACGGTTAATTTTCATTGTTCCAGGCAGAATACTAGGCAGCCCCTTTTGGACAGGAAACCTATGAATATATTTCTGTACACAAATACCTGGTATTGGAAGATACCAACACCTATATATTTGAGCACATCAACTACTGGGAATCCAGAAAATGGATCAAATGATGGTGATGATAATAAAAGTCTTCAGATAATCTTTCAAGTTCTCAAAGTAACCCAAGCTCAGCCCTTTTGGGAGAAAAGTAAGCACACCAGAATTTCTTGTCTCTGTGTTTTCAAAGCCTGCTCAAGGGAGGAAATGGTTCTGCCGGGGAAAGGAGCTGGGTAGTCCACAGTGTATCTTCTCTTCCCATGGCGGTGAAGCTTTTAGAGCTTTCAGTGATAACGAACAGCATGCTGCTGCTGTTCTTGTCCTTTTTCACCGCTGGCCTAAGGACTGCCTGGGAAGCTGCTCCCCACCCGCCATCCCCTCACCCCCACCAGTCTCTTAGTTTCTCCTACAAAGGGAGCCCACAACACCTGCTGGTTATTTCCATCCATCCCTCTTGAGTCAGGAGCTTCGTACCCACCCATACCCAGTAGTGACTCACTAAATATTTGACAACTTCACCTGCCAGCTAGGTTCCAAAACATCCAGGATTATATTCTCTGCACACTAGCAAGTAGGCTTTTTTAAACAGTTGAAATTTATGCATTTCATTTTATTATGGCCCTCTTGCAAATACTCCAGTTACCTTCTATAAACTCCAGCTACTTCCCAGCAGCTGCTTTAAAGTCTCATTTAACAACCCTTGAGGCAGGATGTCCTTGACCCTTGGTACTGTGCCAGGGAGGGCTGGGTATTTCCAAGCTGAGGAGAAAAGTCTCTGCCATCCCTCTCAGTATTTGACCTTGGCTTGTGGTTTGGGCTATGGGATTTGATCATGGAAAGGGACAGACCTTCTGCTGGGAGAATTTATAAAATCTGAACATCACCTATTGTATCCACAGCACTCACCAAAGAATCCTTCATTTGCATGAGTTGAGTAACCTGTGGCCTGGACTCTGGCGGGGAGGGGCACTTCCTGTGGGCAGCGTGTGTGCCAGTGGGAGCCCAGCCTCTCACTAAAACCAGAGCACTAGACTGTGAGTCCCTCTTGGCGTGGAGCAGGAGCTGAGGGCAGCGGCGGACCCTTTATTGCTTCCAGAGTTCCTGAGCCTACATGTGTATGTTGGGCTCTCACGATGTGCATGGTGACACCCTGTAAACTCAGAAAGGCTGGGCACTTGGGGGCTCTTTTCCAAGATCTTTCTCCAATCCTTATTTAAACAGAAAGTGATTTCCTGGAGGCTTAGGGTCCTAATCCAGGGACAGACAGTATAAGAACTGACAGTATAAGATCTGACATCTGATCCAAACGTTTTTTCTTCATAAACTTTTGACATTATTTTAGGCTAAACAGAGAAGTTGTAAGAAAAATACAAAGAACCCCCCTCTACCATGTTCTCTTCTATAACCCTAATACAAAGGAAGAGAATAAAGATTATTCCTGTGGGTCTCGTGACCAGGTTTAAAAAATGAGCATTGACTTAATAACTATTACCTGATCTACACACTTTATTACATTTTTCCCAGTCATGCTTCTAATGACCTTTATCCAGAAGATTGTGTAGTACATTCCCTTGTTATGTCTCGTTGGTCTCCTACAATCTGCACAGCTCCTTTGTCTTTTTTTTTTTTCTTTTTCATGGCACTACATTTTTTTAAACAAGTACAGACCAGCTGCTTTGCAGAATGCCCCTCCTGTCTCACTGCAGGATCAGCAGTTTGGGCAGGAAGATCCCAGAAGGGGTGGTGGGCTCCTCATCGTCCCCAGTTGAGTCTCACTCTGGCCACATTACATTGATCACCTGGAGGACGCTCAGAGCGCCAGGTGTCGCCGTTATGAAGATACTGGTTCACCTGTCAGCGTATTGGGTGGGGGTGTGAAAAGATGCTTTGAGGCTGCTCCTCTCTCAGA